CGCTTTCACCGCTACGGGGGAATGCCGTCTTGAGTTTTGGTATTCTCATCGCAAGGGCTTCCAAGTCAACGTCCAACTGCACAAGGAACGATTCTGTGAGAGGGTTCCTTCTCTTCAGTGCGTTCATGGCTGAGAGGAGGAACCTTAATGAGTCGGCTGTTTGGCTATCGTCCGGACGACTCTTGAGGTATTGAACAAATACCCTTGCTGCGACGTAAAGACAGAAGGATATAAATGGGTTCATCTGAGACATATTAGTACCTCAAGTCTAATGGGGCTCTTTCGGAACATACCGCTGACAGATCCATGTGTGAGATCATTCTCATGATACTCGCGATCTCGTTTGCCGCTGTAATACAGCGCACCTTGCTTTCCGCACTGACTGAAGCCGGAAGTTTGTTCTTGTCTGCCTTGAAAATGGCGGCTTGGTGCAAACAGATTGTCGATGTGTGAATGCTCATATTGGTGAAGACGATGTTGGGGTTGCCCAGACCAATCGGAAGCTTGAGGTGCGATGGCAAACAGAGAGAAGTATTGAGAAGGATGTTGTCCATGTTGCGGTGCCGCTTCCAGAACTCGCCGTTGAGGTCGTGGTCTCGGTCACCGGGGTCAGGCCGGTGCAAGTGAATCAGGTTGCGGCCAAAGAGGCATGCCATCAGTACGATGCCTCCAAAAGAGGAGAGCTTGCCAGCTCCAGACGGGCTCATGCAGTCTTGCAGCGACTGCGTCTGCTCGGGCCGGCTCATGTCGAAAGACTCCTCTGTACAGGGCAAGTTTGTCATGATGTCCTTTTCATCCACCGTCATCGGCCACCCAGTGCCAATACTTGCGTAGCGATCTTCGCAAAATGCCATCCAGAAGGTACGTCGTCTCTCCTCGCGCTCGGTCCAGTCTCTTGGCGGCGGAAGACACTGCTTCACGTCCAATCCGGCACCATCGAGGCGATGTAGGCCAATCCTAAGCACAGATTAGCTGCCGAGTCCTGGGTTGTTAGATACCTTGAGCTCACATTTGACACAGGCGAATAGCAGACCCCGTGCTCATCCAGGCCCTTGGGAAGTACATCATCTTGAATTCGTATGAGGCAAGTAGCACATGGGTCTGAGCATGAGCCACAGATATCATGTGTTCGCCATATCCTTTGATGTAATCTGCCTCGACATACTTACGAGCTCTTTGGTAGAACAAGTCTTTGAGGTCAAGGTATTTCTCAGTGATTGAGCACGACAAGGTCCATATGGCATATCGGAGTGCAACAGGCGGACGTTGGTTGGGAGCCCTGTCAGTTATGTCAGTATGCTCTTGAATAAAGCCACATTCCAACATGGCTAACTGTATGTGACTCGTACAAGTTCATGGCTGCTAGGTATCTATATTTGTGGATCATCGGCACGGATGGATGAACCTTTTCAAAGAAGATTTGGTGGCTGCGAAGCAACCGTCAGTACAATGGCCTTCAGGAGATATCATGATGATACTGACAGCTCGTCGATGGTTTCCTGCGGAGGAAGAGGTTCTTCGAGGCCCAATCCAATCATTTCCCAGGTGAAGTTGCTCCCGGCGTTGCTCATACCCATCGACATGCTCGAGTTGAAGTTAAAATCATCCATAGGAGGGGCAGCTGCATTCTGAGTCTGGGGAGACTCGCCGGTGAAGCGCCATCGGTCGACGTCGTGATCGCCGCCGAGACCAAGGGTGGGATTGGGAATACTGTAACTAGTCGGGGCGGCGGTAGTTCGGCTACGATTGGCGGTGGTTGCGTCCAAGTTGTGAGGTATGTTGGAGGAGGGATTGGATGGCACGGGGGGAGGGTCTTGAGTCTTGAGCAGGGTTTCGACTTGTTCTACATAGGGTGTAAAGACGTTCAGTCAGTCAAGGCGATGGACAGCAACACGGTAAAAAGAAGAAGACGTAGAACGAAGAAGGCAAATGTCAAGAAAGAGCAAGGCGCAAAGACGGGAATGCTCACTCAGTCGTTCCTCTAGAGCCTTGACATATCCTCGCTTGGGGCCGCTTTTCCTGCGAACCTCATCGTAGGCGCAAGAATGGCCCAGCCTGGCGCAAGTGCTGCAACTGGGCCGCACTCCGTCACACTTCAACTTGCGCTTGCGGCATATCATACATGCTAGGCGCTTCGGCTTGGGAACGTTGCTGTTATCGGCGGCCCCTTCTCGACCATTGGACTCGGCGTCTGGGCTATGAGGACGTTTGTGGGAGTTGGCGCCATTTGTATCTGGCGGCGTGGGTGTACTTGAGGACATGACGAGGGCAAAGTCTCAGGGAATCCAACTACTAATTCAATATCCGCCGATCGAACGGTCGGGCAATCCGGAGATTGATTGGGGACGAAACAGGGCGATTTCTCTTGCTATCGGAGGGGGGAACCGAATGTAAAGATGCCCTCAATCCATAGGCGCACGCGCGCACAATTACGACGGATACGGCTGCTGGCTGTCGTGTTTCGTACTAGTCGAGGCTCGTCGCACAAAGGGTGAGACGTCGTAGGCCGCTTCAAAATGAGATTGACGTCGAGAAAAGGTTTCTGAGTATTCGTACGGAGTAGGGTGTTGCAGACGATGCCAAGTCGAAAGGGGAAAATGGCAAAGGTCGTCGGTAACTGGCAGTGTAGACAAAGATGAAAGAGCGAAGAGGGCGGGCGGAAAATGGGTTATCGGTCGTCGCTGGGGCGGTGGAGAGGAGAGTGGAGGGTACCTAGGCGTAGAGGAGACGGGAGAAGCAGTGTCGGGTTCTGTCAAGAGCGCAAGACTTGGGGTTGAAGAGCAAGGATGGCTACCTTAGAAGCGGAGGATTAGGTGCAGCAATGCATCTGAGCGTGAGGTGAGGTGGTAGTATGGCGGGCACCAGCGACCAGCTGCCAACTGCGTAGCCTACTACCTACCTTATGGAACCGTACTGAGCTGGCTGGCCATTAGCATCTCACATCAGTAGGTAGGCAGGTAGGGCCAATTAGTGAGGGAGGCCTAAGTGTCTGGCAGTCAATCTGCGAGCCTGGTAGCGTCACGGCCTGGCCGCCATACCCTTTCCAGCCGAGCTCATGATTAATAAGGCGCTCCGTATCCCGTACCTTTAGTAACGTCAAAGTACATCAACGACAAGGGCCCCTAGCTTTCTGTACCTATCGCAAATGTCCACTCCATCTACATACGCGGTTATGATATGCCTAGCACGATGGACAACCCGCGGTTGGTGTACGCCACAGAAACCGTGTTACCTAGGTGTTTGACTAGATATTCGGGGGGCACTTTGTTCCATCTCATCTTGAGGCATGAATGATGAAGTATTCGCATCTCAAATCTTAGTTGCATATCCGTACAGTAATGAATGCTCACCACGACTAATCAAGTGGGGAGACACCGAGAAACCCTGCACATATGTATGCGCAGTGGGCGGTGCCGGAAAAAGACCCTACGTTGGAAGCGAAAAGCGAGAAACACGAGTCGGGTCGGATACTACTACCACAAGATCGCGAATACGCTTATTGGCAATTTGGCACTGAGTTCCAGGTCCAATTTCCCACTCACTTTCCCTCGCAGGCTCGCAGTTGCGGAGCGGAGTAGGAGTGCGGATCGTCAGGCGTGTGCTACCTACTCTATGGATAACTCCGAGTACCGACCATACCGTGTAGGTACCTCAGATATATGGTCAGTATTGTTATGTCTCCGGTCACTAGTCACCCTTGAGCTAAATTTCTTCAGGCAGCTGGAAGACAAACTTTATTCCCGACTTGACATTTCACTCCCCCTTCCACCCTTCCTCCTTGCCCTATGATGCCGCGATATTCTTACCGTTTGTTAGGTCACACCATGCATGAGAGGTAGTCAACGTGTTAACTTACACCAGTGACCAACGTCCGGGTAAAAGCCGGGAGCAGAGCTAGCCGAGGCTTGGGTTGGGTCAGGTAACTAAGGTAAGGTAGGTAGGCGAGAGTTCTTAGCAGTACTCCGTAGTCCTAGGCAAACGTCTGAACGCGCAACTTGCACCACAATCTCATGCACCACAGCCACACTGCGCTAGGAGGCAACGGCTGCGCAGCCCATGAATCCGGTACGCTGTACAGCTGCCCACGACCCCAGCATCTGCCGTCCGCCAATGATGACATCCAGACCCCTCTGCTTTGTACCAAAGCCAGTGATCATCTCAGAATGGTGACACAAGGTGAAGTAAGGTGAGGGAGGGTGGCATACGTTGCATGTGTAGGTGCAGGTAAGCACGTAGGGTACTTTTCTGCAAGTCGCGATACCTTCTCATCAGTTTCCTCCAAGGCGTCCTAATGAAGGAACCTCCCTATTGTTTATCTTATTTCCGTGCATCTAGTATTTATATATGCATGTATTCTAAGAAAACGCGTAGAGTACCACGTGCAAAATTTACCATCCGCGTATTGTGTTTACTCCGATCTGGATTCCATCCGAGAGCGATGTCAGGAAACGTGCTTGGCGCGTTTTTCTAGCCAACTATATGGGCGAAGAAGAACGAATACTCATCAGCCCGCATCTTCAAGCAGATCGTCGTTAGACGTGGAAATCTATAAAGGTATTTTTATTGCTGTGCTGCTGATCTTGACTCTCCTACTTCTACTGCAGTCAGCTGTCAAGATAGCTTACACCGCTTGATTGGGCCGCAATTGTTTCTCTGCCTCCATCTCCCGTTTCTTCCCTAACCGGCGTCAAGTTGGGCCGATCTGACTTTGGCGACAAGCAGTTCAGCTTCTCAGTCTTCTTATCTTGTAGCTCAAGCTGCCCTCCTTAAACCCCCATGCATGGTGGGGTTACTGTAAAGTCAACACACAACAGCTCAGTTTCCAAAATCAGTAGGCATTACGCTGGAACCTATATTTTCCTTTTGGAGAAGCAATTTTCGAGCTTTTAGGCATTCCCATCTATGCGACTGAGGGAGCCACCTACTCAGGGCTGTACAAGCTATGTTTCTGCGCCGTAGTAGACGGTCCCACCTCTTCGGGTTGGTGAAATTTTGTCTGATCACTTCTTCTCTGCATCCACTCCGACGATGCGAAGAACGCCAAGATCGCTATATGCAAGACAATATTTCGTCGGCGCCCAGGCTACAACCGGGCAAGGACCAGCTGTCTTGAAGGTGTGGACATGATCTCCTGACTCTGCATGTCGAATATCCAGTCCAGAGCCTGGCGATATAATTAGTATCTGCGTTATTCTTGCACAGAGCAACTTACCTTCATCGCTGCCTCCGACCAAGAAGTTGCCATCGAAAGTGAAGCCTATCGAACCATTAGATAGTTTCCGCAATCACTAGCATTGCTGTTCAACTCACTGATAGACCGCACTGGGCCGATCATGCTGGTTATAGTTCGCTGGCAAATCCAGTCTGTCGTGTCCCACAGAGAAATTATGGAATCCGAACCCCCCGTAGCAAGATAACGTCCTGTGGGTTGTAGCTCGGCTGTCAAGCAGGAAGACGTGTGTCCGCTGAGGGCAAACTCCTTTGGCTCATCGCCATGGTTGAACTGGAAGGCAGGCTTGAAATCGGGATATGTCAAGATCCGTGTTCTTCCCTCGCCAGTTGTCAAGAAGATCGTATCGCCGGCCCAGCCAAAAGCAATCTGGTTGGTCTGACTGGGCTGCTGATGCGACGCTATCGGCGTAGACTGTGTTGGTGACAGCACAAAGATGTTATCCGTCTAGCAGAATGAGCGTCAGCAGAATGTCCCAAGGTGATGCCATAATCGACGCGGCTGACCTTGTTTCCAACGACTAGAGACTGTCCATCGGGTGCCCATACAAGAGTAAAAGCGTCTCCCAAGCCTCTTATCTCGTTGATGCAAGTCTTGGACCGAACGTCCCAGAACTTGACGACTCCGTCGTTGCTTACACTGCACAACTCAGCATCCTTGACTGGATTGAATGCAACCTTTTCAATGGCAGCGGAGTGCCCCTTCAATTCGGTTGAGAACCGCACGTTTGGCTTCTCAGGATTCCCTACACAAGTAAGGCATGTTAGCCTTATTGCCCCATGGACAAGTGGATCACTTTCATCACGTACAGACGCGTAGCGTTTTGTCCGAGGAGCCTGTCGCGACCAAAGTTCCCAATGGATTCCAGGCTATCGATCGTAACCTGCAAGAACAGTCAGTATTCCGGGCCGAAACCTCCACAGGGGCTGTTCATGGATAAGGAGCCATACGTGTGCCCTCTAGAGCTTGAGCTGGGATCGTGGTACGGCTGGCTCTTGAGGTTGGTCAGGAATGCCGGAAACCTCTCCTTGGAGAGGCTCAGCCTTGTGCGAGGAGGTACCATGACAACGCGCCGGGAACACCTGGTATTATCAGAAGCAACGTGGTTTGAGTATAATCCTAGATGGTATGTCGAGATCAGTGTGTGAGCACAACTCAAATAGTAGAGGATCAAGCTGGATGATAGGATAGTATGCAGTGTGTGTGTCGACCGCAGTGGTGACTATTCAAGTGCACAATACTAATCGATCAGTACATACAAATTGAGTCTCTAAGCAGAGTAAAGCCAATGCTGTTTGAATATACACTGATTGTTGTTGGTCGACGCCTCACCCCAGAATGGACTTCACGATGTTGTCGTTGGTATGCAGAAGCGAATGCGGTGGGTATACGGAGTGGATATCGGTACCTACCCACGCTACCTTGAGTGCTTGGGTATCTTACTCCCCTGTAGTACCTCAAGGCACACCTCGTTGAGTCCATCTTACGGCACCACTGATTATCTAATGATGCTCGGGTACGGCGGTCCGAACAAAGCGCCTGTAACATGCTGCCTGGAGTGCTGCGTGCAGCTGCCAAAGACCGAAAAAGGCGGGTCGGGTACCTTATCGATGGGAAGCTCCCCTGGTGGCTTCACAAGCTCCCGCCGGCGACAAGGAGCTCGTACAATAATGCTTATCCCAAGCCGCCAATCCGCATCATCAGTTCCCTTCCTACTCCGCATATTGATTTCATCCAAGGGCCTCGATTGATTTGAAAATAACATGATGTTCCTCGTTTGAAAGACAACTAGCGGCCATGATCAAGACATTGTGCAGCTCGACGACAAAGAATACCTGGTCTTCGGCTCGAAGAAGCCCCCGTTTGTCACCAACAACACCTTGCCATTGCGACGGCATATCCTCCCCGAAACGATTGACGCGTTTACATAGGGCCTTGCCGAGATGTATTGGCCCATAGGAACCCCGAGAATCTTCGCAACAAATAGCAGGTCTGGTCCTGCCTTCAACCTGGTCGTTTCTCACGATGGCCTGCCCAATCCCTTCGATAATCGGCCGACAGACGAGGCCTCAGAATCGCCTTTCGGGAATGTGCAACAGCAGCAATCGCCGCACGATACTCTTGAGCTGGCGACGCCAATGACACCGCTGACGCCCGGCATTCAGCCAGTTGACGATCAAGATCACGACCCGGAAACAAGTCGGCCATCACCCCGCCTCAATGTCAACATTCCCCTAAAAGATCCCGTCCTCGCACTGCGCATCTCCCGTCCTGGCCACCTTTTTGCATCGATAACCTCCACTTCAATGACAATATGGCAAGCCAAGGTTGGTTCTTGTTCCGGATAGCGCTGTCTTGTAAAGCCCAATGAACCACGCTTACGTTCTTCTCAAGCCCACTGTGATTTTGGCAGTGGTAGTTCGCTCGGAAACTTCCCTATCGACTTATGGCGAAAACGTCGACCTTCTGATGAGACCTGATTCGGCTATTCTTGTGGTCCGGACTACCTTAGGCTACCTCATCACATACTCACTCGCAATGGACTCCGAAGCCCAAGTCTACAAACCGTATTTCCCGAGCTACGCAAACATCCAACGACGTCGTCAGAACCATCATGGCCAGCCCGGAAGTACAGCTCCAGACCAGTATCTCTGGGGCCCTGGTGAAGGTCAAGGAGTGCGTGATGTAAGCGTTCGTTTCAGGATGGTCATCAAAGTTGATGCTGGTATAGAGAGTGCTCTGGCACTGGATGACGAGCTGGTTGTTGCCACGCGCAAACCAGGTGCCATCCAGTGTATCCGCTGGACCCCGGATCAGAGTGGAAGCCAGACTAAGACAGAAATCATCAGTCGAATGGGATGGCTAGAAAAGAAGATAACCGTCGTCGAGATGACCCATGATCGGCCTATGAACCTGTCAACCTGGACCACAAGTGACGGCAAGGTCTATGCAGTCCAGCGGCTTCATCCTCGCGAAGAGGCCGACCCAAAGAAGCTTTTCAAGGGATATTGCTTCCACACGCCCGCTAAACCGGAGGAGTCTGCCATAAAAGCAGTCATCAATGCCAGATTCTCATTGATTGCTATAGGTTGCGCAGATGGGTCCATCCGTGTTTACTCAGCTCGAGATTATGCTGGCAATATTCCTCCTTCGCATACCCACACCATTCCAGTGTCGACAACGGTTTCTGGTTTACTTACGACTCTCAGCTACTCACCTGACGGCTACTGTTTGTTTGCTGGATACGAAAGCGGCTGGGCTACATGGAGCGTTTACGGGAAGCCGGGCAGCAGCAGTTTTGGCGCACACAATGCTATCATTGAGGCCAATGGCGAAAACTGGATTTCTGGCATTGGAGACGCCGTCTGGCTCGGCAGCGGCTCGGAAATTCTTATCACACATCGCAAGCACGAGGCGATTTGGGTGCTCGAAATGGCGAGAAGCGCAGTCGTTGGCAACTACAACGCTGCAAATCTCATGCGCACCGTTTTGCAGACGAGTACCAACGTCATGATATATCGCGGATATGACCTACCAGATCTAGCCAGCATCTCTGCGGAGCCGCATCTTTGGCACACAACGAAAGTACCCTCGGCCTATCTACTTCAGCAGTGGCCCATCCGCCACACTGTCATTTCACCAGACGGTCGATACGTGGCTGTAGCCGGGCGCCGAGGTTTGGCTCACTATAGTGTCAACAGTGGTCGTTGGAAAACGTTTGCCAACGAAGCCATGGAAAATGAATTTCAAGTTAGGGGCAGTATGTGCTGGTATCAGCATATCCTCGTGGCTGCTGTTGAGGCCAACAAGTCGCACGAATTGCGCCTCTACTCGAGAGAAACGGCGCTCGACAACTCTCAAGTACTTCACACTGAGCGACTACCAGCTCCAGCAGTTTTAGTGACTACTTCGGGAGAGGATTCGCTCCTTGTGTACACCTACGACAACCTACTCTACCACTTCATTTTCGCGCCCACCAACGGTTCGATTAGATTGGTTCAGCTAGGTCAGATCGCATTTCATGGCATCGTGCGCTCGCCTGCAAGAGTCCGCGGTCTGAGCTGGATTTTGCCAGACAGCCAACTCGTGGACGGTGACCCGTCACAAGATGTCGCCGTGGCATCTGTTCTATTCCTAGTAGATGCCAAATTGGTATTGCTACAACCCTCTTTCAATAGCGAGGGCAATTTGAAGTACGACATGAAAGTCATCGCTCAAAACGTTGAATTTCATGTGAGCATGCGGGACCAGCCCCATTTTGATGGACTAGCTACACATGCCGAGGCGTTATCGCCTACGGGGGCAGACGTGACTCTACGCAACTCACTCTGGGTGTTTGATGGCCAGGATTTCAAGGTCTGGGCAGACATACAAGAGGTGCTGCAAGCGGCTTCAAATGAGGCACAACGAGAACTGCCAAAGACAATATCGGTCCCTCTAGACTTTTACCCCCTTTCGACACTTCTTGGAAAGGGCATTATTCTTGGAATTGAAGCTGATCTAATACAGCGACGAGACATCAGCTTCTCCTTCTTCCGCTTCGCCATTCGAGTTGGTTTACCATTACTACTTTTGAGAGACGCCTTGCTAATAGTAATTAACAGACACATTTATTCTTGCCTGACATTCTGCGATTCCTCCTGACTGAGGGCCGCAAAGTAGATGCAGTCAAGCTTTCAGACCGGTATCAAAATCTGGAATATTTCGCACACGCGTTGGAGATACTGCTTCACAAGGTGTTGGATAAGGAAGTTGATTCCGGACCAAGCCCTGAGGAAGCAATCTTACCAAGAGTGCTTTCGCTTTTGTCGTCTTTTAAGCAGTACCTAGATATCGTGGTGCAATGTACAAGGAAAACGGAGGTGCGGCAATGGCGCACGCTTTTCGCATACCTCCCGCCGGTACAAGAGCTTTTCGAAGAGTCACTTCAGCGAGGATCATTAAAGACGGCCGGAGGCTATCTCATCATCTTGCATACTCTAGATGAGCTTGGGTCTGCGTCAGAACAAACAGTACGCTTGCTGTCCAGAGCAATGAAGGAGGGTGACTGGGAGCTGTGCAAAGAACTTGCGCGATTCTTAGCAGCAATGGATGAAACTGGAGACACGCTCCGTGAAGCAATGGAAGGCGTGAATATTTCCATGCAGGGTAACAAGGACCAATCTGGGCTGATGAGTCGTCTTGATGTGCCTCACAGCAAAGCCGTAAATGGCTTGGGGTTGAAGTATATAGAGCAGAGCGACGAGATGGAGTCGGAGGGTCAGTCGGTCAGCTCTGCCGCCAGCTTTAGCTCAGACGGCCGCTAGAAGGCGCTGAAGTATGGATAACGAAGTTCATGAGTGCCATTCCCAACGATTGCCCGTGACATTACAGACATGATGTACTCATCTAGATGACCGTGATGGACGAGGCGCTGCTGTTCCGTTGACACTTGTGCAGACGCTCCTGCATAAACTTTGGGTTGTGCAATGACCGGTGCAACAGGTACGTACCTCCCCCGCCCCCTCCAGTGTCCCTGGCAGGCACGGCTGGCCAGGCGCACCACAGCCCCGCCAACTGCTTTCTGCCCTGCAGATGAGCGCAGAGAAACACCGTCAATCACCACCCAATGAGAAACACATTCGCTCTGGTTTCTTCACATCAGCGCCCATAATCGAGACGGCCGAGCGACCGCGATTACTCGACATTCACGAACGATCTAGACATTCCGACGCGACCGTACCTCTGGGCCATGATCTGAGCGCTCGTCGAGGCACGAGTCGCACTTTCTTCCCGCCATGATGGATGACTTCGTTAGCGAGTCGGACAGTGACTATACGAGCTACTGGCGAGACTGGGTGAGTGCGGAAAGACTGGTGATGGGCTTTCTGCGTTCGAAAGGAGATTTGATGAGGGTGGAAGCCAAGGTTGCTGGCTTTGGGCTGCGACGCGGTCATTGGCGCACTGTTGAATGCCCTCGCAATAGCCTTGGAGGACTGCCGCTGAACCAAAGACGAATCGCCTGCTGACCGTGGCTCTTTGTAGTTCATTTCCTCTCGTGGCAACGAATATTTTTGCGAAATTGACGAGGACTACCTCACGGATCGGTTCAACTTGACTGGGCTGAACACGGAGGTCCAATACTACCAATATGCGTTGGATCTCATCACCGATGTCTTCGACCTCGACTGCGACGATGAGATGAGGGAGACGATCGAGAAGTCTGCGAGGCATCTGTATGGTCTCGTACACGCCCGATTCATCGTCACGACAAGGGGCTTGGCTAAGATGGTAAGCTACATCTTCTCTCGGATCTTTCTCCAGCTCCTTTTTTTTTGGTCCTTGTACCCAAAGAGATTGAGAAGGAGGATCATGGACATATGCATCTTTACTACGATGGCAAAACTAACACTTCTCGCAGCTTGAAAAGTACAAGAAGGCCGACTTTGGCAAATGCCCCCGCGTGATGTGTCATTCGCACCCTCTCCTTCCCATGGGCCTCGCCGACATCCCCAACCTGAAGCCCGTCAAGCTCTACTGTGCACGCTGCGAGGACATTTATAACCCAAAGTCCTCGCGCCACGCCGCTATTGACGGCGCCTACTTTGGCACCTCGTTCCACAACATCATCTTCCAGGCCTACCCGGCACTCATCCCCACCAAGAGCGCCGAGCGCTACATCCCGCGCGTCTACGGCTTCAAAGTTCACGCCCCCGCGGCCCTCATCCGGTGGCAGCACCAGAAGAAGGACGCCATGCGTCGTCGCCTGCGGAAGATGGAAGTGGACAGCGGGTTCCGGGACGAGGATCTCCTGGAGGACGACGACGACGATGTCGAGTTCGAGGGCACAGAAGCCCGCGTACGGGCCGGGGATGACGAGGGCGTTGCCATGGCGTGAAGTAGAAGGAAGAACCAGGCGAAGACGGTCTTCGCTCATCTTTGGCTACTTTCCTAGCCTGGCACCACATCAACATTGCACAAGGGGGGCGACCGGATAAAAGGCTTTCTTTGGGCTAGGGCACGGCTACCTCCCGCTTTGCTGTTACTTTTCTTTTCAGTTTCATCTCTCCTATTCGGTAGACTGGGGCCTCGGGAATAATGATATGATGGCTTTCATGATCAACCAGTTACCCTTTCGTGCTGCGGCCGCTTGACGGTACGCGTGAATACTTGGTGTTCCGTTCATCATTCCACATGTCATGGGTTCATCAACAAATGTATCCAAACCTCTATGTCCAATGAGCTTGCAGATTCTCTTGATGACCAAAGTAGGCGAGGTACGGCAGCAGATCAGGGCTATGGTTGTAAAGGCAGGCTTTGATTCCTCCCCAACATGGCAGCACAGTCGAAAAGCCATGTGACAAGGTAGGCCAGCAAGACACTGTCATCTTGTGCCGCGGTTCATAGTATACTCGAACAAGCGCAAACACCCAAATTATTTGGGCAATGCTAGTATAGTGTGGCAGGGAGTCCGATGATTGTGAGCACACATGTACGCCTCCCCACGCCTCCCCCAGGCGTTTCTGAACTATTAGTAGCGCCGTGGTCCCGGCGTCGTCAGTACAGATACAAAGAGTCGGAGTTAGAGTTAATTTAGAAAATCGAAGATAGCCTACTACAGCTAGTGCCTTGCAGATCTTAGTGGATAAGAGCTGTAGCGGTAAGTGAGCTATCAAAGTTCTTTATCCATGATCAACATTTTGCACAAATAGAACGGGTCAACAGAGGTCATCAGTCACAAATCTATTCCGTAACGGTCATATCTGTATGCCATGCCTGGCCCCATAAGAAACAATTGCCCTAGGTCTCCGCCAGTTCTTTTCTTCAGGCGGGTGGTATACCGTAAACTCCGTTCATGCCCCAATATGCCCAGTGTGGAAATGCGATGGATGCTTTAGCATGCCGCATCCAGTCTATCGTAATCAGAACCGATTTTCAGTCTCAGGCTCGTCATGAGAGCCTTGCTTGCCCATATACTGCGTTGATGTTGCTTGACCAATGACTGGTCTCGACACATATGCCTCTTCCTCATCGCCAGGCCGAATAAAGTCTCCTTTGTCAGTCGCGTAACTGTACGAGCCAACACCAGACCACCAAGCTTTATCGTGGCTGCGAGGACCCCAAGCCCAGCCAGCGCCCTGAGTAATCGGAAGGTGATAGTAGCGGAAGGCGAAGATGGATGTGAAAATCCCAATCATGTAGCCGAAGAGAATGTCAAAACCGTGGTGGCGAAAGTCGAACCAGCGAGAGCCAGCAATGAAGATGGAAGCGAACCAAGGTATGACAACGATGGTCAGGAGATAGATCGGAGGGGCAGCAGCTTGTCGACGGACAGCCGTTACGACCTTGTTATGCTCAGCCAAATTCCTTGCCGCAGTAGTGGAATCAGGGTTGAGCGATCCGCTTTCGCCGAGTCCAACCTCCTCATAACCGGATCCAGACTTCTTGATGCGAGAGGGAAAAGCCGAGTGTGAATCGGCACCGTTGTCTGAAGCCACGAATGGCAGGGTAACGGCGAACTTGCTGGCGAGGAACAGAGACAGGTAGATCAAACCGGCGGCGGCGGAGCTCGAGTGACCAGACGGGTAGCTGCGGAAGCCGTCGTTGAGCGTGTGCGAATCGGTATTTGTGCAAATGGCTGCAGACACGAGCTGGCCAAAGCCGGCCGCACCTGTCAAGCCGGTAATGTTGGCGGATGTGCCACCAACGATGTACTTCTGTATGTTGGCCAGGTCGGGCTGGCATCGAGAAAGAAGATCGGGTCGTGGTTTACCGAACATGTTCTTCATACCGTTGGTGATGAAGAAGGCGCCAACGTGAGCGAGAGCGAGACCGAGATATCCAACGTGCAATTCCCACAGCTTCCGCTTCCAGATGAGAGACTTGGGGGTTCCTTTGGGAACAGTGTTTCCGGGAACGAGGATGAGGCACACGGCAGCGATGACGATGATGGGGCCAGCGACAGCAATGATGGCAGCTAGCCACATAGGCACGGTCTCGTGGTGGGTGAAAGGGAAGCTGTTGTGATTTGGGTCAGCGATATGCGGTAGAAGGGACGCTAAGCAGCGTTTTTGGCGTCTTACGAGATATTGGGGTCGAGGACAGAGAAAGGACGCTTGTTCGGCTCGACGACGCCCAATACGGTGGCAATGCCGCCGACAACGGCGAGGACAAGCCAGTCGAAGACGTATGATCCAATTAACGAGGGAGTCCAGTGGCCGCGGTGCGGACGGCGCCTGGAATAAGGCGCTGGTGATTCGGGCATCTTGTAGTACGAGGGCCTCGACGAGGGCGACAAGTTTGCGAGAGGAATGGACGAGGACATGAGGTGAAGGGTGAGGGGAGAGAAGGAAAAGGCAAGAAGTAGTTGGGGGAGGAGAAGGAGGTCATCCGAATCCGAAGGGAGGTGGCTCCAAGCTACTTCAGGTGAATGAAAGGCAGCAGGCGTATGTGTATGGGCAGAGGGAAAGAGAGTTTTAGTGTTATGGGGTTAGGAATGGGGAAAGGATCCGCACGGCGACAATGATGGCGTAGTGAATAGTGCGCGCGGATACGGCACCTGGGTGGTGGCTGGTTGGGGTTGCGGTACCTCGCGGAGAGGTATCTAGGGTGAGATGTATGAGAGTGAGAGCGGCAGGGGCGAAAATCGGGCTGATGAAATTATCAGGCCAAGGTGAAAATGAGTCGGGTCTGAGGAGTTGCGATGTGAGAGTGAAAAAGGTAAAGGTTGGTCGGCGCGAGTAAAGAGAGAAGTGCAGAAACGGCAACAAGACACGAGGGGCCGGCGACTTGTTTGATGTTTGAATAATGTGTAGTGTAAGGTACGTGTAAGGGACCTGAGAACGCGCCAAGCGTAGTAGCACGGTACATGCGGCGATGTGGATTTGGTCTGCTGGCTGATCTTGTCTCTGGCGAAAATGGGCAGTGGAGGTCAGGTTACGGATTGTAGGAAACCCGATGGCAATTGAATACGCGAAGACGTTTTGAGAGAATATGAAGAGAAGTTGAGCTGTCAGGTATTCGTACACTCAAGGCCCAGGGCTCAAGACTTAGGAGACATGGGAACTGCCCTGAGATGAAGAAGGTGGAAGGGACGGATGCACTTGAGGTCAACGACAGGGAGGGAGGGTGCCGAAACAAACGGAGTAAGCAGTCGCGTGGCAGTGCTCGAGACGGCGGCGGTAGTTTGGGGCGATTCAAGAGGAGCTGTTGGCTAACGTGATACATTGAGGTACATCGATCAGCGGCAACGTAACCTTAACATTGTAGTAAAATGCAGCCAGCCAGTCCAGCGACGGGCATCGATAATCGTGCAGCCCACGAGCCGCAAGAGAATTGAAGCATTGCAAAATAATTAGCATTATCAACTGCGTTAGGGCTCGTTCATCCGTACACGTCCAAACTTTGATGGGCATTATGGGGTCTGCAGATGACTGACAGCGCAATGCATGAATGCTGAAGGTGAGCACGAGCTTGAGCTACGCCAGCAGGCAACAGATGAAGGAAGTCCCCTGATGCAGGCGCAGCCGATCATGGACCATCGCATCTAATGTATTTTTGGGCTTGGACGAAGCCAACAGAGTACAGACTAATACAGCACGGCCGAGCCATTTGACGTAGCTGTGCGATTAGCATATGGCTCTTTTCCTCACTCGGCTAATCTCGCAGCTTAGGATCCCGCGGACTCGCTGCGGACTCGTTGCCACAGCCCTGCCATTTCATCATCAACGTTAACCGGAACCCGAGGGGTGATACACTTTAGATGGCAAAAGGTAAGGTATCCATATGTTGCGCGTTACGCGTTGCGCGAAGAGCCGAAAGAAGAACGAAGAAGTGGAAAGGTAAAAAGGTCACAGCAGCCCAAGCCATTTCTTGACTGGAATGACCAATCCCGAGTCTCTGAAGTGTTTGAGAAGGCGCCTGAGGGAGCCCATTTGGCCCGTCTTGCGACTTCCATCACCAGAGGGAAATAACGAAGGGAAGGAACATAGGTACTTTGTAAGGCTGCGCCTGGCGGATACTTGCAAGGTACCTCTGATTTCCATTCCCGTTGCGGAGGTGAGAATGGAAAGGCCCCATCTGAGACTTCACACCAGACCTGACCGACCTGTGCGCCTGCTTCCCGTGTTCCCGTTGCGAAGTAAGGTACTTGACGAGCCCCTTTCGCTTACCTTACCTAAGGCAGTACGTACCACAAGATGCACGATGCACCGGCGAGGGTGGCTTGGGTCTCGGCACTGTGGATCACAAAAAGCAGTCAATCGACTGAATCCTGTCACTTCTGACTCTGCCAAGAGTCTTGTCAGCTTCACTTTCATCAACCTGTCACTTTAACTTGCCCGTCGCGCCGCGTTCTTTTGGTCTGATCATTGACTATGTTATGTCTAGGATTCTATGAACCACTTTACAGACCAAGGACAGAAGATTGCGCACCAATCCGTTGCTCTATGCCACAAATATGCCAAGCACGCGCCGTCACTCGATTTTCAATTACCAACCACTGACCGACCACCGGCATACACATATACACACACTCAATCACAGCCGACACTTGCATCCATAACGACTTGTCGGTCCGATAGACTGAGCGTTTAACTGACAGAGAAACACTTACAACTCTCGTCTTTGCCTGTCGCCTGAGACTATTCCTGAGAAATTCCAGGGTAACTAGCATACCTACATTCCAACCCATTTCCTGACATCGTCTTATTCAGCCAGCCATCACGACTCACGACACTCGCTTCTCGTCGCACACCGGCCTTGTGTGCTCGCCTGTTCCGTCTTGGTCCCGACCTTGGCCCGGGATCATCGGCAGACCGGCACATCGACACCTTCGTCAATCTTTAAAACGCGTGGCCTCTGCCCAATGCCACAGCTCAGCCCGCCTAAGCCGAAGGCACATTTCAGAAGATATTGCTGCTAACAAAGATTGAAATACGAATTTGGGTTCTCCATATTTTACTGTGAGCCTCTGTTCAGCCGCCATGGCGAACTGGTATGGCACCAGAACATTGCTATTCAGTTCTCCCTCCACTGCACTGTGATAGCCAGTAAATGCTCCGCGGTATTCTCGGGCACCGATGCAAACGATGGCAACGGTGTTCAATCCCCATTGATCACTTTCTTGCAGATCGTCGCTACAGCAACCCAAAGTCCGGTGGCACGGCGGGCGGAAATATATACCCAAGTAAAATTGACTTTGTTCATTTGTTCAAATGGGCGGATAACTTGATCAGGACTACAGAGTCAAAGAATGCACTCCATACGAAGTACAACTCAAAATGTTTTCCGCTCATGCAACGCAGCAAACCCCCCATTACGCCTGCGGACTAGGAACGCCCAATTAACCCCTTGTCCCACACTGTTTGGGGTGCTTCATTGGTCTGCAGATCCCGAACCATGCCTATCGAACTGGAGGTTCAATGACCCTCGCTCATGTTTCCAGATGGCTGCCGCCCCTGAGATGGGAACGGGTTCAGCCAACATCCCGTCGGAGACAGGGTCAAGCTGCGGTTGAGGGCAATTAATTCTCCGAGTCTTTGAGATGGCAGTGATGAGTCGTGATTCGCCAGCACTTAGCTACCCTAAACAGGAGCAGCCTCACTGCAGACATACTTTAAACTTCGGTGCACTGCACCTGGAACGAGGTTCGCTGCCGGCCAAATTTATTCGTCAAGTCACAGCACCAAAAGATGCTTACGGGGCAATGTGTATTGCTTGCGGCCCCGCTTCTGCGGTGGCTCGGCCGGGACATTGCTTCGATATATCGGTTTCCGGAGACCCTCACCCCGAATTCGCCACAATTGTCGGCTTTCAACCTTGAGGAAATCAAAACACCAAAACAAAATTCAGCTGTCGTACACGGGCTCTATTATTCATCTGCCGCAATGCGAGCTAGCTTCTGAACGGCCACCGCCACCAAGGTTCGGATCCAAGTGGTAATCCGCTCAGTTGGCTCGGATTTGCGATCAAGCACCAAATAGGGTCGATGGCTTTTCGTCGTCAGATTTCGTCAACCGCTCGTGGTCACGTTTTCCGATTCTCATCGCCAAGTCTTCGGTCCGCGATGTTGACGTTCAGCTAGCGCACAACATCTATCATGATGGTTCGCAATTTGTCTCAATGATGCTTCAGTGCCGTTTCTCAGCTCCGTTCTACCACACGCAGCTAGGGTAGCATTAGGTTGTTTCCGAGCAACTCTGACCTCGTCGACACACGGTCCTCGAGGGAGCATCCGCTAGCCGCATCCTACATCGTAAAAGCAGCCTGTTTCGGTCAAAGCCCCCTATTCTCGCCCGCACATCGCTATGCCCATTTTGGTCTTCCATCTCTCTGCAACGGCACCAGGAGTCTCTGTGGAACTAGAGCCATCCACAACTCTGAAAACGCCACCATCTCATACGATGTAGCAACCGATGGTAGTTTGGCGACCCAAAGTAGTCGACCCTGACATTGAACTGATTCTCAAACACAGCAGCGGGGCCCCTTTACTACCGCGCCATGACAAAGATAGTCCCATCTCGAGCCTCTAGAAGGATCTCGCGGCTCACCGTTTTGGTGATTCGCGTTTTTCACAGCTTTCCTTTAGGGGCTTTTAGGAGCAAAGGCTAGATGTTCTTAAATCGTCTCCTATCGCCGCATTCCTTGGCTTGATCTGCTTGACATTCACTCGCTCTTCTCTCCACCACGCTCGTTTTCTTGGCTCTTTGGGACTGTGCCCTGTTACTTGTCGACTAACAGCTCAACATGTCTATCCTCGAGCTCCTCGTGCTTGCCCTCGCCGGTACGGCTGTGGCCTCGCCTCCCCTCGGCATCCGGGCTGTCTCCCCAGACAACTCATGCGGAAAGACTGGAAACGGAGGTAGCTCCAAGGCGTACACCTGCCCTAAGAGCTTGCCATGCTGTTCAGTCAATGGATGGTGCGGCTCTACTGATGCCTACTGCTTGCCCGCCAACGGTTGCCAGACCGGCTTTGGTACGTGTAAGGGAGCGACGAGTAGCAGCAAGGCACCGGCGGCAGCGAGCAGCAGCATAGCATCAGCGAGCGCCAGCAAGGCACCAGTCAGCAGCCCCAGCAGCACCGCAGTGGCAGTAAACGTCTCTCCCGACAACTCTTGCGGAAAGACTGGTAACGGTGGCAGCGCAGCGGGATACTCTTGCCCGACGGATCTGCCCTGCTGCTCCGTCAACGGCTGGTGCGGTTCGACCAATGACTATTGTCTGGCGACCAATGGCTGCCAGACCGGGTTCGGTACTTGTACAAACGACGGCAGCCCGCCGGCAGGCGGTGGTGATGGCGGAGACTCCGGTTCAGGGGTCTGCGGCCCCGATAACGGGAACGCCAAGTGTGCCGCGAACGAGTGCTGCTCTGCTGCAGGGTAAGTGAAAAATCCAGTCTTGAACTGTGTGCCTGTGTCGCTAACATCATATCAGATTCTGCGGAACAACTGCTGGTAATTGAAACCCCGTGCCACGTCAGCTTGAAGAAACAACCCCTAACATGACAGTAGAGCACTGCAAGGCTCCCGACTGCTTGTTCCAGTACGGCCCAGCATGCGATGCCAACAAGATTCCTCCTGGTCAGAACACCTCCAGCATCGCCCGCCCCAAGCTCGGCTCAGTCGAATACGGCGGTCCCGGTGTATACAGCTGCGTTAAGCCCGGTGACGTTGCCCTAACTTACGACGACGGCCCGGCCGCGTACACGAACGACCTGTTGGATCTCTTGAAGAAGTACAATGCCTCAGCCACTTTCATGATCACCGGCAACAACAACGCAAAGGGTGAAATCGACAACACCACCTTCCCCTGGGCTAACACCATCAAGTATGACGACGTTGCTTTCCATCAAGACTCTGAGGATTCTTTGGCTAACGTCGAGCCACAGGCGCATGTACGCCGAAGGTCACCAGATTGCCAGCCACACCTGGTCTCACGCTGATTTGGTATGTATCCTCACCAATGGTCCGTCTTCTCGCCGATGGGCTTGCTGACGTTGAGAATCTAGTGCAACATCACCTCGGCGCAGCGCAAGAATGAAATGTACAAGCTGGAAATGGCTCTCCGTAACATCATCGGCGTCTTCCCTACTTACATGAGGTATGCCAGTAACCTAACCCCATCCCCCAACCCTGCGAGAGAATCCGCCTAACACTCATCTTCCCAAAAAAGACCCCCTTACTCCTCCTGCACCGCCGCCTGCGGCTGCGAAGGCGACATGAAGGCCCTCGGCTACTCCATCATCTACTTCGACCTCGATACCGCCGACTACCTGCACGACAGCGCCACGGAGATCCAGCAGTCAAAGGACATTGTCACCCAGGCCATCGCCGCCAAGCCTGCCGCCAGCGACAACTTCCTCGTCATCGGCCACGACATTCACTACCAGACCGTGTATAACCTCACCGAGTTCACGCTCCAAAAGTTCAAGGGCAAGAACATGGTCACCATTGGCGAGTGCCTCGGCGATCCCAAGGCCAACTGGTACCGAACGGATGCGCGCACAACCCTTGGTTGAAATCTCCAGTTGTGTAGGCAGATTTTAAGAGAGTAGGATTTTCATCCTCATCAGGATGGCTGCTCAGAGATGTTCGAGTTCACCGACTTTTCCTTTGGAAATCTGTATGAAATCGTAATATAGTGTATATTATCTAGTGTTACATAGTTCTTGTCGGATAATAATTTTCTCCACGCAAAGCAACTTCTGACTCTGATTCTATTCAAAACTGAAGATGGTGCCTCCCTACCCCCTCCATAGACATCGAATATGAACCTCAATCAGCCCACTTTGACAGGCTCGACGAAGTCATATCGCGGGTGCGGCACTTTGGGAGTACGAGTGTGTTGGGCCCGCCGCTGAGGATGCATCCCCTACCTATCTCAGGGCTCAATGGCGGCACAGCAAATATGGATACGTGAACTTATCATGATGACTCCCATTATGTTGAACAGAAAAACGCAATGCAATGTATTCAGCCCTCCCTGAACCCGATTCTCCGAACAGATGTATGTACAGGTTTTTTCACGATGCCGATGGCCATAAGCCAGCCCCACCCCCGCCCTCATTGTATGGTATGTTTGCCTTCCCTCATTGCGCATCATCAAAATACTCCAAACGGGAGCGACGATTAGATGACGACAAGACACCCTCACTTGCAGGCCAGCCATGCCTTAACACACAAAATAAGTGAATTCCATGTCTTGCCAGCCTAGTGGAAGACAGAGTCAACGAACTCCAGCCAAACCATCCGCTTTCGTGATATCCTTGTCCTCTGACTCCATGCGCCGTTCATGAGACAAGAGCAACGAAGTCCCAATGCGATGGAAAATATAAACCCACAAAAACAAAGCAACAACAAACAGCTGCCCATATCTGACAGATGAGTCTGGACACAATCTAACCCAGAGAAAAAGAATAAGCCCAATCGCCTCCCCCCGCAAGCCCGTGAGGGCTAATGTCGAGAACCTTGGGTAGCGCGACAAGGATGACTACTGCACCTATAGAGGTGTGTGTCGCCGATGTATGCATTCGTAAAAGTGGCCGTAAGCGCTGAAGATGATCCAACTATTCGGCACAGGATCGCTAATAGTTGGCTTCCTCCTCCTCCTCTTCCTCAGGGTAATGCTCGTCTTCCTTGTTTGAGATCTGGTCTAGGGAGAGATGAACATCGACAATGCCGAAGTGAGGAGCACTCTTCTTCGCCCATTGGCGGGTGAGGATGGAGGCTACACAAATGTCAGCGACGAAAGAGGGCACGAGGCCGAGGAGGTACTTACCCTTGAGGAACTTCTTGCTCGCATACTTCTTGAAGAAGGCTTCATGGACGACCGGGCGGGCAAGGTAGTCCACCATGAGGCGAACGACTGGTTCAATCTCCTCTTCGTTGTAGCCGGCATAGAATGCGATGGTGTCATCCTGTTGGATTGTCAGTCAACTAGCCCACTTTACCATGATCCATGTTACATACCCAGTCACCACGGTCCAGGATGAGGCGGGCCAGGTACATAGCGCCGGCCGCGACATGGCTGGGACGGTAGGCCATGAAACGGTGATCGAGGAGGCTGATCTCCATTAGGTACTTGCCGATGGTACGGCACTGAATGTCGTAGTTGTCGGCCTTGCTGATGCGACGGAGGAAGTTCATGGGGTTGGGATAGCTCAGATCGTAGTTCAGGGTTCCAAGAACGAATCGCTCCGCGCTGAGGATCTCAGCCTCGCTGAATCCATCATCGGCAACATGGCGGAAGTTGGCGACGTGAGGCGACAAAACTTCCTCGTACTTGGAGGCGATGAACATGGCGGTGATGCCAACAAGCTGCAGGCGGTCGAGCTGCACGACCTTCTCCGAGAGGAAGCGGTCAATGATGTTGATGGCCAGGAAGAGAGTCTCGGGGAGAAGGTGGAAGCGCGTGTGCACCTCAATCAACCAATCGACCAGAATTCCACGCGTCTTCCACTCCAAATCGTCTTGGTGCTCCATGTAGTTGGGGTTGGGAATGGAGTTGCACTCCAAATCCTTGAGGTACTCAAAGATCTCATTGGCATACTCGGCCACCATCAACGGGTCGTCCAGATCCTCTTCGTCCAGGTTGGTAACATTCTTGGGGTAGACGAAGGGCTTGTTAGCATTGACGGGCTCAGATTCGATTGGGGTCTGGCTCTTGACGTTCTCTTGGTCGGGCTTGGTTCGGCTCTCGGTAGCGGGCTTCTTGCGCATAGGTTCGCTGTCGTCCAGAGAGATCTCCTTCTCCTCCTTGATGACCTTTGTCGTGACCTTTCTCTTTGAAATCGCGCCGGATCCTGAGCCGGGTGCCTTGTCCTTCTTCTCTCTGGGTGCCACAGATCTGGTGGTGCTGGTAGACTTCTTGGTGATTCCGGTAGGCTTCTCAGCCTTGGAGACGAGGCCAACCTTGCCGACAGGCTTCTTGCCTGCGCCAGCCTCTGGCTTGTTGACGTTGCTGACATCGCCGAGGGCGGCGCGTTTGGTTCGTTGAGCTGCCGGGATCGCGTTGGTTGCAGCCTTCTTCGTGGCGAGAGCCTTTCCTGGGACAGCGAGCTCGTCAACGCTCAGTGCGGCTGCTTTAGCACGCGTCATGCGCGTGGTTCCGCTGTTCTCATCGTTCTCGTTCGAAACGAGGCGTGTTGCACGCGCCGGACGGGTAACCTGAATGAAAGGGTGAGCAAGATATCGACGCGAAGAGAGCTTGCTGGACGTGTTGCAAGAACAAGCATTCACGAGTAGACTTACGGGCATCTTGTCAACTGATTATGTCGAGTTGAGTATGTGAGGTGTAGGATTCTATGAGGTCAAGGTTAGTATTGGGACGCGTCGAGATGCCGGTGCCACCTCAAAGGTTAGGTTCCAAGCAGAGACGGTACAGGTTATAGCAACTTGAGTGCTTGGAAGGAGAGGAAGAGGAATAGTGCGGCAATGGAACGACGTGAGCAAGGTCGAGACATGCATACCTTGGGGAATGATGATGACGGGCAACTCGAACGCGGGCAAAACGCTTGGTCAGGCTCGACGCCAAACACTTGATGGGCGAGATCAGTCGCGTTCCGGGAGCCAATTGACAAAGATGCAAAGATGCTGAGGCCAAGGAGGGGAGTGCAATACAGAGGTGGAGGTAGAGAAATTAGAGAACTGGGCTTTGGGCAAAACTGAGGTTGTTTATGTGGGAGGAGGTGAGAGGACAATCAATGTCTGATGTGTTTTGCTGAGGTAGTGGGAACGAATGGACGTGATGTGGTATGCAGTGGGTACCGTATTGTGAATGAGACCAGAGCCGCCAGCTTTGGGAGGTACGTACCAATTTTTTCAAGTCGCGGCTCGCGGTGGCCCTGGTTTGGTCACCACAGTAGCGTATCTGAAGCAGACAGGCGTGCAGTTGGTGCACACGCGAACGGCGGACAGGGAGTGGCTTCTCGACTCTCGCTAAAGGAAAAGTCGCGTCGGGGGTGTCTTTGTCGTGAACGATGGCTGAGGATGTAGTCGCGACTCAGTGAAATCTCATAAGAGAAATCGGTTTCTTTGTGGGCAACAGGTGAGGAATATGAGGGCCGGACAGCTGGGCTAGATAGATATATCCAGCTCTGGGCGTGCGTGGCGTTTGGAGGTAGTGAATCGAAGTAATTCACTGGTGTGAGTGATTCAGATAGAAGGCCTGGCGATGCAGGCTGTGACGAGCAGGTTGGATGGAATGCAGGTGAGAAGGTGAATGTGTGCGGTATGCGACAAGAAGGATGATGCCGTGGTGATGGTTTCGATTGTGGCAAAGTGAGGATGAGAATGAATAAGAAGCTCTCTTGAGGATGGAGAAGCAGCTTGAGCGGCGACAGTGGTGACAATGTGTATCTGTTGTCGGTTGCCTGGGACGAGATTGAAGATACCTCGAAAGGAGCAGCAGGAATATCAAAATGCCTTAACCCGGAGATAAAAGTAGGCTTATGAGGAAGTTCGAGAATCGTGGTGGTAGCCAAGCGAGAGTGGAAGCAGTGTGAGGGTGGATACGCGATTGCCCCGGCTGCACGCGAAAGATGGTCTGCTGGTTGATGGAGAAGACTGCAAAAAAAGACGTGGAAAATGGGGAGTTACCCCGGTCACAATAGCAATCAACAGCAGCAACCGCGGGGCAACCAGAACACCATTGGCTGCCTTCCCGACCACGTCCCGTCACGCTTCCAGAGGCGGCCTACCTGGTCGTGTCGAGGCGTCTGAGGCTCAACTCGAGGGTTCAGCCACTTAGATCCACTAATTGTGGCTGCAGCTTTCGTGCAAGCAGTACGTACCGCCAGTGCCCGGGCATCCATTCCTGGACGTCAGCTCATCGGCGCCGGCAGAATAATTATTTCCTAAAGCTCGAAATCTGCACTGGCCTCAAACGTACCTTGGAGAGCCGCTTCAGCCATCACGATAATAGGGACCGTATTCCCACCCAACGAATATCCCAACGGCAATTGGGGTCGGATTCAGATAGTTCTGAGCTCAATTGAGCAATTTAGATCTATCTCAGGGTTGATTTCGCCTTCGTGCAGGCGCTGCACCCCGACCGAGCCCGTCCCTTTACGCGATATGCTGCGCCTGACCAGCTTCTCCTGAACATAACCAACCGACTCGAGAAGAGGGAACTTTCACTTCGACTCATAAGCGCACATCGATGCCAATATGTCGCGCCATATGATGCTCTTGTCGGCTCAGAGGAGCTGCGCAAGTCTCCTCGGTTCGACCGCCTTTCGTGGGCTTGCGATTCGACAATATGCCACTGCGACGAGGAAGAAGTCCGTCGAGAAGCCCGCCACAAAATCCAGCGAGCCTGCCGCAACTACCCCTACTATCGAGAAAGCAAGCAATGACTCCGTCATCATGCGCACCTACAAGCCGCGAACTCCCGGTGTCCGTCATCTGAAGCGTCCGATCAACGATCACCTGTGGAAGGGCCGACCCTTCCTGCCACTGACCTACCCTAAGAAGGGCCACGGCAAGGGAGGTCGTAACAACTCTGGAAGGATCACCGTCAGACACCATGGAGGTGGCGCGAAGAGGAGGATACGAACCGTTGACTTTGAGCGCTGGCAGGCTGGTCCGCATCTGGTCGATCGCATCGAGTACGATCCGGGTCGAAGTGCTCACATCGCGCTGCTCTCGAACAAGTCCACTGGGCGCAAGAGCTACATTGTCGCTGCCGAGGGTATGCGTGCCGGCGACGTCGTCCACAGCTACCGTTCCGGTATCCCCAAGGATCTTCTGGATAGCATGGGTGGCGTTGTCGATCCCGGTATTTTGGCAGCCAAGACGGCCTGGAGAGGCAACTGTCTGCCCATGCACATGATTCCTGTCGGCACTGTTATCTTCAACGTCGGCTCAAGAGCCAAGGGCGGCGCTGTATTCTGTCGCAGTGCCGGCACCTACGCAATTCTGGTTTCCAAGGAGGAAGAAACCAGAGACGACGGTACCAAGGTTGTCACGGGCAAGTACATTAATGTCCGTCTTCAAAGCGGCGAAATTCGCAGAGTCAGCAAAGACGCCTGCGCAACGATCGGAGTCGCCAGCAACCCCCACCACCAGTACAGACAATTGGGCAAGGCCGGTCGAAGCAGATGGCTCAACATTCGTCCCACGGTTCGAGGTCTTGCCATGAACTCCGGTACGTGTATCCAACCTTGACTCTACGTACTGGAAACGCTAACAATTGTGTGACAGTCGACCACCCTCACGGTGGTGGTCGTGGTAAGTCCAAGGGTAACCGCCATCCTACCAGTCCCTGGGGCACTCCCGTAAGTTTCTCCCTGCTGTCCTTTGTGCACTCGCAGCTACTGATACACGCATTCTACAGGCCAAGGGCGGCTTCAAGACCCGTCGCAAGCACAACTTCAACAAGTGGGTTGTCGAGCCCAGAGTACGCAACATGGGCAAGAGAAGAAGCAAGGCCTCATAAGTCATGCTAGTCCATCGACGAAATCCTCCTCCAGACGGACGCGAACAGACATTTACCGAGCTTGAAACGAAGCTCGATGCCCCTGTTGTAAATGTATGCTATAGTATTTGTATCATAGAGCTATTCATGTTGCGTTGCCGGCCTCCGGCGCATTCTCCCAAGATACCGCAGCTGCATTTCTGGACCATGGCCCTTATCCAAGCCTTTCGGCCACAACCATATACTATCCCGTGTAGCATTAACGGTGCCCTGTGTTGGACTGGCTATGCTATCAAGCCAAGCTCAGAGACGCTCACCCACCTCTCTCGGGCCCGTTGTGTCCAGCAGTGGTCGTCTCCTCCGTGCGCTGCTCGGGGTCTGGACTGGTCCCGGTCCCAGTCCCAGTCCCGTCGGCAGTGGCTTCTGCTCCACGACTCCGCTCCCTCCAGGCCGTCTCTCCTCCGCCGAATGTCTCCTCATACGTCTTCTTCGCCCTTTCAAGCTCCTCTTTCGCAGCCTTCTGGGCCTCCTTGAAATCCTCCTCCTCTTTCTTTGCATCTCGCCTTACCTTGTTACGTTCGGCCGTCATAGATAGAAAGCGGTTCCACGATGGGGATGATGCGAGGCTGTTGCCTCCGACCATGATCCACCACACCTTGGGAACGGGGTCGTCCCCCAAGGGTTTATTCTGGGACATTTCTTCTTTTTGTCTTTTTGCCTAGAAAGGACTTTTTTTTTTGTGGTCTAACTTGCTTGTCTAGGTGTCTTTGGTTTTGAATAGCTCAATAGCTCACGATCTTTTGACAAGCGTGAAAGTGTATCGAAATAGCCTGTTTCGAATTGATGCTAGGACGGGCGGCCCGTTTTGATTGAGTAAACGCAGGTGTTGCCGAGTTGCGCTAGTTGCTGACGTTGAGGCGATGGAACTGTCGCCTTGGCTTTTCTTTGTTTGATCAAGTAAATGAATCAGTCGCTCTTCTACCTTGGGACACTGTAGGCACTTCTAGCAAGCATACTGTTAGGTTGGCGAGCTGGTAAAGGTGTAGCATGCAAGATCTCTTTATGGTGACAGAATTATCTCGCTTCCGTCGTCCCCAACGGTGAATCAGACGGTGTCACCAGCAATAGACGCAATGTAATGAGTCTCAATTGGATACTGTCAACATCATTCACGTATTGGCTAAAGCTTTTTTGCCAGATCACTGTGCTTGCTCATCATTTGTCTTAATTTGAAGAGATGAAAACAAAAAACGGTCAACATATTGCGTCGCTTTTAAAGCCGCTTCTCTATCGTAATCGCACCATGGCGATATCTCAACAGTGGTAACCTCGCCTCCAGCCAGTAAAAGAAACCACAGTGTCTCCCGGGACGCCTGTTCTAGGCTTGTCCACCGGGATCAAAACTCCTAAACGCCGCTTGTTGTGTTTCCAAGCTTTCCCGTTGAAAACAGATCCCAGTCTAATCTGATTCAGACCCAAGAGCTCCGAGGCTCATAAACATAATGACGTGTCGAAATTTCATCGTCTCCGCCGTTCATAAGAAACATGTGACCGAAATATGTTGTTGGCACTTATAGTGATCCAATACGCTCCTCGACGCTGCCAAAGTAGAGAACAGGGCGTGGCTCAAGAATGCTGAGCTCGCTTCCGAAGCTCTTGCGCTCTTCCTCGAGGTCAAGCATCGAGGGCTGGCGAAAGACGATGCTGTTGATTGTGCTGACGGGAGACGAGGCCGTGGTAGCAAAAGAGCCTCGATCGCTGCTGGCACGAGAGGATGCTGATGACGAGCGGCGGAAGGTAGTTCTGAGTGTGCTCGGAGAGAAGCGGGAGGTGATGGACTGGAAGCGGGAAGACTGCATGTTGAAGGAGAATGAGACGTTTCCGACACCTTAGTACGTCTAAAGCTTGGTGGATGTCGATAGTATCGAGATAGTGGGAGGTGACAGTGTGCAAGTTCGATGACAACACTGAGGAATGTGGGTATAGATGTTGGATTTCGGAGGCTCAGCCTGTAGTGTCTATGAACGAGCGAATGGCGAGAATTGAAAATGTTGGAGCGGTGAGTAAACTGAGTTCAAGAGGGGGTTGTGGACAGCGGGAACGGGATGGATTATATCAAGTGTCGGAAGACATGGACACTCGGGAGGGAGAATAGTAACGTGAGGCTAATAGTAGGCTAGTAGCAGAGCAGGTACGCAAAGCCCGGCAGCAGTAGTAGTCCGGCTGAGACGAGCGAATTGCCCCTGGCAGGGAATCAATCGCAGACGAAGCGAAGTGGCAGAGAGGGAACAAGGGGCCGCGGGAGGTGGAAAGGATGGGCAGGGAAGGGAACTGGGAGGTGGACAGGGGAGTGAGGATATGCGGAGGATTAAGAAGTGTGAGAAGGGTTCAAATACCAAGGATGCATACATAGTATGGAGAAACGGGCTTGAGGTTCAGGGGTGTGACGCAGACGGCATCAATGCGAGGTGTGGCATCAGAACGCTGCCTCTTTTGGCAACGAGCAATGCGGTGGGAACTTGGGAAGAAGAGATGCATGGATGCCACCGGTGCTAGATGGTCGAAGACATGTTGTTCAGACGACGGACGCAGATATGCCTCTTCTGCCTGCACGGCAGCATGTGAGTGCGTAGGCAAAGGCATGCTTTGGGAGTGGCCTTGGGTAACTTGGCCAGCTCCGAGACTCAGTCTATGAGACGGGAGCGATGGACCGGTCCAAGTTGGACGATGAGGCCGAACCTGGCGTTGAGCCCGTCCATTCCTTGGCGGATGAACTTTGATCGAGGCATTCGGTAGTTAACTGTCTACCCACTGCATCCTACTGCTACTGCGATAGGTACTGAGGCAGCATCTTTCTCGGACATGATGGACTTGTTTCCGGATTTCTATCGATCGAAGACTGAGGGGCCGGTGGGAGCTCGAGAGACCACATGAGATATGAGACGGCGTGCCGCATATGCGATATCTGAGCAGCACTTTACCAGCGAGAGATGCGTTCAGTATCTGAAGATTCTGGCTTACATGGTACCAGCTACGGATCCAGAGCAAGAACCATCGGTCTATGGAAGCAGCACGCGAGGGCAAGAGGCAACAAGTGCTCTGTAACGTGCAAGAGATGCCCCAGGAGCCGGTGCAGGGCAGTCTGAGGTATGTAGCAGCCTCCTGCTCCGTTAGTCCCAACTGGCTGCATTGTGTGATCGTCGTCAGGGGGGCCAGGAGCAAGGGATGAGTTTCCCTTGGGGTACCTTGGGTCCTTCGTACCTCTGCAGGTACCGTTCCAACGGTAAACGTATGGGAAGGGTACGGGCGGGTACGGAACGGCCTTCTCGGCTTGGCTTGTCTTGGCTTCCCACCAACTTCAGAGGTACCCGTACTGCCCCAAAAAAAAAGAAGAAAAAAAGAAAGAAAAAAAAAGTCTGTTAACGCACAGGCGGCGAGCGTCCATCCCTCAATGTACCTCCCCACGCCTCATCGCTACGATTCTACTGACACGGGGGCCAAGATAATACATCGGATCAATGACTTTGGAGGGCAGAGTCTGATAAGATACGAAGAGTGGTGCTTGATAAGGCGTCAGGGGCCACCGCTACAGGCGACAAGAAGAGTGACAGCCAGACAGCCTAGCGGTGCAGACAAAGAACGCACGGCTGTTTCAAGGGCGCCCGCCAACGAAATTGCCGATGTCATGCGTGCTTCATGGCTGACGCTGTTGCTGACGCCGACCCTGACGACAGGTCTGGGACTTACAAGTTGGCGAGTGGCCACGATTACGTACAAACACCTCACTCTCCTCAGCCTCAGCGAGTGTCTCCATCTGGATAATCTGCTGCTACTTATGTGGAAGGCTTCGATAATACCATCTTTCCCAAAAGAAGAAGCGAGCATTACTCAATGCCTCAGCCTCAAGCCTGGGAGGGCGAAGGGCAAGTTATGGACAGGCATGTGCGCTGTGTGGTAGATGGCTGCCGCTGGACGGTTGGCCGTAATCGCATAACGTGCTCATCGCCATAGCGCGGCGTTCGTGCCACTCGTTCGCACCAGCGTTTTCCCTTGACGAGGATGGCCATTGCCAACGCGGCGGAAAGCCCGTGATGTGGGTGTCGAAGCCTTCTGGAAGAACTCTCTGAGCCACCATGGCAATGCTCTGCCAGGAATATTCTTGGGCCTGCCCGGGCACTTACTCATATAAGCCCACGATATTATATGCTAAAAAGGGCATATCAATCTAGGAGAGACTGTGGCAGTCTATCTATATGATCTTTCCATTGCGCTGTAAATGACAGAGGTGAAGTCTTTTTTTAGTTTTCTTTAAAAAAAATAAAATAAAATAAAAAAGGACTGCCGATATCCGTAGCGGGTGTCGAGTTGCAGCTAGACACGAAGAACAAGTTCCATCAGGGCAGTGTAAGGCGGACACGTAACACCGAAGAGGTGATATTCCTGTCACCACTTCACCTCAAACCTCGTGTTGTTGTTCTTGATACTAAACGGGAAGCTCGTCCGTTCCTTGAAGTTATACCCGAATCACAAACGCCATCACACGCATCAAACTCTCCAAATCCAGGGTCTTCACTCTCCTAGTCGCTTTGCTGTCGCATCCCCCAACTGATCCTCCAGCAAAACAGAGGTCCAAGTGTCCTCTCTTTCAGTGTGCATCCGTCGATCTCATGGTTGAAAGCTAGGAAAGGGGAGGGATAACGTGATGGGGCATGGGCTCACTGGCATTGGAAACAAGGCCACCCCTGGGTATCCCCTCACCATACCCCTGTCGTTTCCATTGCCTATCGTTGCAAATCGTGCCCAGGTCTTTGTAGACGAGTGTCAAGTGAGAGTTTGGATAATACTACCAGTAGTGAAAGCATGCGAAAGAAAATCATCTTTCAATCTTGTCGATGGCCCCCGATCTCTCCGTCAGAAGGCAGACCGCCAGTTGTGCGCCAAAGACGGACAAAGTAGGAGAGGAGGGGTATATTGAAACATTCGCGAAAATGAAACGAGGAAGTGCCAAGCGACGACGAGACACGGACAAGACGAGAACAGACCAGACCAGGGCCTACACCGGACGAGACGAGACATGAAAGTCACGAAATACGAGACTCAGACCCGTCGTTAGACTAGGACTTTATCAATTCCCCGAGGCCTACCCCCGGAGCCATGTTCGACCCCGATGGATGACGGTCGATGAAGCTTCTTTTCTACTTCGTCCCGTCTGATCTCTCCACTGCCGGCGCCTAGGGCAGGGTCCAAGACACAAGATTACTGAAATTAGGGTCAGGAATCGAAGCCAAGAGGTGTCTCCTAATTTCATAAGCCGTGTTCTTGGCGCTGTTGCAACTTGATCTATCGGTCATCCCGCCAAGAGCCAAATTCTTCCACTGTCAACGGCTCGTGATCCAGTATTGATATACACTGAAAGCAATGGCTTAATACTGGCCGCCTTTTTGTATTCAACCTTTCTCACTGGTGAACGCACTCGTTTATTCAGAGAATTTTGGAGCAGGGTGCACAGGCTTCGAGGATGGAAGTTTTCTACAATCCTTCTTTAAGATGCTCCAGGAAACACACAGCTTCAGCCATCGGATTCTTCGTTCGTGAAAACAAAATGAGCAAGGTTTCAAAATTCCATGGAAGGAAATTCGCATTGTTCTGATGCTCGGTTCATGCACAAGTTCAGACTCTCTTTGGCGCCTGCCAAGC